CCTCCCTCCGCCCTCTTCCTCCGTCTAAACGCAGATCATCGAAGACAGCCAGACAACCGTTCTCACGGGAGAAACGGGCTCCGGCAAGACGACCCAGGTTCCGCAATACCTGCTGGAGCGTTCCCTCGAGACGCAAACCCCGTGCAATATCATTGTCACGCAGCCGCGGTACCTTACATGCCCATTGTTCCTGTTTCGGTTTCCTTTTTGCCCCCCCCCCCCCCCCCTTCGTGCTCTTCTTCCTCATCGCCCTCGCCATGCCCGCTCCTTCTGCTCATGCGCAAGGGGGTCCAGAGGGGCTGTGCGGATGCGCTTCTTGCTTGACATGCCCCCCTCCCCTCTCTGACCCTCACGATGTCTTGACGCGTCACCAGGCGAATGGCCGCCGTGTCGATCGCCAAGCGTGTGTCCGATGAGCAAGTGGTCCCGGTGGGCGATCTCATCGGCTACAGCGTGCGTTTCGACTCGAAGGTCTCGGCAAGCACCCGGCTGCGTTTTTGCACGACCGGTGTGTTGTTGCGCCTGCTGCAGGATGAGGACCCGCTGGCTGGCATCACGCACATTGTCATCGATGAGGTGCACGAGCGGTCCACCGAGATCGACATTGCCCTGTGCATGATGCGTGAACTGCTTACTCGGCGTCCGGGTTTGAAGTTGATCATCATGTCGGCGACCGTCAATTCGGACCTCTTCCAGCGGTACTTTGCTCGCAAGGAAACTCTCCCGCCGATTGTGTCCATCTCTGGGCGGACCTTCCCGGTGAAGGTCATCCCTCTGGAGAAGTCCATCGCCCTGTGTCACTTCCATGGGGGTGGCACCAGCGAGTACGTCGGCCATGGGCCATTTCTTTCCCCCTCTCTTTCTTTCCCTCTCTCTCTCTCTCCCCCTCTTTTCCCTCTTTTTCTTCCTCTCCCGCTTTCTTGCCTTCTTTTTTCCTCCCCTGCCCTGCTGACCGCCCCTCGCACGCGCCTGCCTTTTCATTTGCCCTGGTCTTCGCATCGAATCCACTCCCGTGCCAGATCGGTGGATATGCTGGCCAAGCGGGTTTCCTCCGATGTGCGCATCATGTTTGAATTCATCAACAACCTGGTCGGACACATCATGAAGGCCCAGCCTGCCGGGGATATCCTGATTTTCATGCCCGGTGTCGGTGAGATCAACCAAGCGGTGTCGCAGCTGGAGAAGAACTGGCCGTTGATTGCGTCCAAGTTCTCCGTTACCGAGCAAATCCCGGTGATCCTTCCCCTTCATGCATCGCTGTCGAACTTCGAGCAGACCCTTGTCTTTGCCAAGCCGCCGGCCGGTCGACGCAAGGTCATCATCTCGACAAATGTGGCCGAGGCATCAGTCACCATGTGCGCAGTACTTTTGCCGCTTCTCATGCCGGTTTCTCGCTCCTTCTCTCTCTCTCTCTCTCCTTCTCTCTTTCCTCCTTCTGCCCCTCTCTCTTGGATTCTGTATGTCTCCTCCTCACCTCCTCTCTTTCTCTGTTCTTTTTGCTTTCCACCCTCTAGCGATGGCATTGTGCACGTCATCGACTCAGGCTTCTCGAAGATGATGTACTTCGACAATGAGAACGGCGCACACCACCTGCGCACGGAGATTGTTTCCGAGGCCAACGTCCGCCAGCGTCAGGGTCGTGCGGGTCGTACTCGCGCCGGGTACGTGCTAGATCCCCCCTCTCTCTCTCTCTCTCTCTCTCTCTCTCTCCCCCCCCTCCCCCTGCTTTTGGGCCCCCTTCCGGCCCATGCCTGCATATCCCCGCTCTTACCCCCTTCGCCTGACCCCTCTGTGCCATATCGCCATCCTCGTCCGCTCGCCCTTGTGCACATTCCCCCGGGGATTCCCCCAGCTTTTACTATCCCCTTTACACCGAGGCCACGGCCCGGTCGCTGGAGAAGTTCCCCATCGTGGAGATTCAACGCAGCCCTCTGGAGCCAGTGTACCTGCAGGTGCTGGCGTCCGGGATTTCCAACAATGTCCCGGCCTTCCTGCGTGGGCTGCTGGATCCGCCCAAGGCCGAGCAGGTGGCCGCCGCCGAGAAGATCCTCCTCAATGCCGGCGCCATCAGTCTCGATCGCAAGTCCATCACCCCCCTGGGCCGGCAGCTGTCCTTCATCCCGGCCGGCATCCGCGCGGCCAAGGCCATCCTCCTGGGCGCGGTGTTCCAATGCCTGGACCCGATGCTCAGTGTGGCGGCCTTCATCGACGGGAACTCGCCCTTCATTCGAACCACCGATGCAGCCGTGTTGGAGTGCGTGGGCCTTTTTCTCTGTCGATCATTTTCGCCATCTTCCTTTCGGGGTTCCTGCCCTGGGACGGGGTCTTTGCCCTTTCTTTGGTGTGCTGGCGAGGGGGAAGCCCAAGCGCAGGGCCGGGCGCAGGGATCGGGACTTCCTCTCGGGCCGGCCGTTCACTCACCTGCTTTCTCTTTCTCTCTCTGTCTCCCTCTCCCTCTCCCTCTCCCTCTCCCTCTCCCTCTCCCTCTTTGCCGCGTGCCTGCTTGTGAATGTCTGTGTGTGGGACGATGGCTCACGCGCAGAAACCAGCGGTCTCTTATTTGTGAGTTTGGGAATCCCAGCTCCGACCTGCTGACATACCACAACATTTACAAGGAGTGGGAAAGTCAGGGTCGCCACTCGGCCCGGTCGCACTTCTGCCAGACATATGGCCTGTCCTTCCTGACGATGCAGTCCGTTCGCGACCTGCGGTCCATCTTTGCCGAGTCCCTCTTTGGGCTGGGGTTCTTCAAGGGCGACGGGTCGGACTTCAATACATACTCCGCGGCCGGCGGTGTCAGCGGCATCCTGGCCCTGGACCAGCGTGAGAATTATCCGCTGGTGTTGTCGCTGATTGCGGCGGTCCTGGCGCCGAATGTGGCCGTCACCTCCGGCTTCCGGACCAGCCCCGGGCCCGGGCAGCTGGACTTGCCGCTGGTCGACCACCGGATCTCCGGCCAGGGTGGCGCGCCGATTTCCATCCACCGGTCCTGCCCGATCGTCACGCAGAAGCAGCACTTCGCCCGCCGGCCGCATTATCTTGTCTTTGCCAAGAAGCTCATCTCCAGTGGCCTGGCATCGGCGCAGCGACGCGGCCCGCGTGATGCCCCTCGCGGGGGCACCCCGCCCGCGGCCATCCTCTCGGTCACGGTGGCCACCGAGTCGGCTCTCTGTCTCTTTGCCAATCCGCTGGTCAACCGCATCGAGGACCGGGTCATTGAGATTGACAGCTGGCTCAAGATCGAGGCCTCCCCCCGGGTGTCTGGTACGCCTTGCCGACTGGGCTTGTCGGTTGCTGCTCCGACTTTTCTTTGGCCATGCGAGATGCTGACCCATGTCCGGACACCTGCGCGCCGCTCTTGCAGCCCTTTTCATGGCTTTCCGTGCTCTGCTGGATGAGTTCCTGGTGTTCACCCTTTCCGCCGGAGCGGCGGCCACCTCGGGCGAGGAGTCGCGCGAGGCCATGCAAGCGCACCTCATCAGCCAGCTCAAGATCCTCCTTTCCATCAAGTAGGCCCGCCGTTGGCCGTTCCCCCCCTCCCTCCGGCTGGGCGGCCATCGATCCCTGCGCGAGAAAAAAAAAAGGGGCCAAAAGGGGGAGCAACACACAACCCCACCCGGGCCTTGTTGTTCGGTCACACCCATGCGCTGCGCCGGGCTCCCCACAAGTGCCTCCAATACACATAGACCGCCTTCACCTTTTCACCGAGTCCGCGGCCACGCGCGTCTTTCTGTCGCACCGCTGAGAGTCCCCCCGACAACGGGGCACGGACGGCCTCTCACGGCCGGTGCCAGGGTCCCAAGCTAAGGAGTGGGTGTTTGGGTGTGGGGCCGATTGGCAACACACAACCCCACCCGGGCCTTGTTGTTCGGTCACACCCATGCGCTGCGCCGGGCTCCCCACAAGTGCCTCCAATACACATAGACCGCCTTCACCTTTTCACCGAGTCCGCGGCCACGCGCGTCTTTCTGTCGCACCGCTGAGAGTCCCCCCGACAACGGGGCACGGACGGCCTCTCACGGCCGGTGCCAGGGTCCCAAGCTAAGGAGTGGGTGTTTGGGTGTGGGGCCGATTGGTGCATCGGTTGGCACTTCGCGCCATCGGTCATACCTGCTCCAGAGGGCGCCGGTATGTACGCATCTGTGCGGAAGCTTGTGTGCCTGTGCGCAGGGGCATGTGTGTGTGTGTGTTTATGTGTGTGAACACGCTCTTGGCGCGCCTGCGACATGGGCCCTCCCGGGGAGGGGTGCAATCTAGCTTGCCCTGGCTTTGGCGGGGGTGTGGGGGCATTCTTTTGCATGCAACGGGTGTGCGCCACACACCTCGGCGCCAGGCACTCCCCGCCACCTACTTCCTCCCGCTGCCTCCTCTGCTCCCTACTCCTGCCCACCTGCCGGCTTGACGCCCCTCCTCCCTGCTCATCCCCCCCCCCCTCCTCCTCCCCTCCGCCTGTCTGCCTGCCCCCTCCTCGCGGCCGCCCGAGCAGCCTCAGCGCATCCATGCCCCGGCTCGGAGGGGACCCTGCCGGCATGGCCGACGCCGGCCCCGGGCAGTACCCTCTCTTCTTCATGGAGCGACTCCTGTCTCTGGAGTCGTCGGATGATGTGCCCGCCTCTTCCCCGATGGAGGCGCAGATTGGCGGGGCGTCGGCGGATCTGCTGCCAGCCGGCGCCACCCCCCGGCAAACGCCGGAGTTCATCTCCCCTGGCCGATCGATTCTCAGTAGTGCCAGCGTGACCACGGCCAGTCGCTTCATCCTGGCACTGCTGGTATCGCCGAACTTCGTCATCATCCTGACTTCGCCCCACGGCGGCGAGCCAACCGTCTCGGTGGTGCGCACATCCCGGCCCGCGCCTGGCCTTTTCTCACATTCGCCCCGGTTGTCTGACCTCGCCGGCGCCGTCTGGCCTCGCATCGTCCGGCTCCCCCTTTCGCAGTACGAGGGCTTCCCCGATTCAGCCCGGCGCCTGTCATCCATCGCCCTGAGTCCCTCTGGGGAGTGGTTGTCGATCGTCTGCCTGGACTCCTCGGTGTACACGCTGGCCATCGACGGTGCACCATCCACCAATCCCACTCCCGGAGAAGCATCCAGGCCGGATGGCGGTACGGTGCGCCTGACCAGCGTGGGTCTTCTCCTTCACGATCACCGCGCCCCGGCAGCCAGCTCGGACACCGGGCTACTTGCCGGCCGGCCGCGATCTGGCACTCTCAAGCAGACTTTCCTCGGGGGGCAGGATTCCCTGCTGCAGGGGATCGAGCAGTTCCTCCCTTCGGTCAAGTCCATCATCTACTCGTCCATTGACCCGGGGCAGGCGGCGGCCGTCACTGCCCCGCCTTTGCGGTACTCCTGCCCCTTGGAGCAGGTCCCCTCCGCGCCGGCCCAGTATCCCTGGCGTGCTGGGGCCTACAACCTCATCTTCCAGCTTCCCGCCTCCGCGGGCGGCGGCTCTCCCATGTGCTCGGCGTACGGGATATCGATCTGCTTTTTTCTCCCTCCCCCCCCCCCTCTCTCTCTCTCTCTTTCTCTCTCTCTCCTTTGCGACATTGCGTTTGCTGATTGCGGCATGCTCGATCCCCCTCCCCTTCCTCCTCCTTCCGGCTCTACTTGCAGCTGGTGGACCTCTTCGCGCGGGGCGGATTACCTTTTGCTGGGAAGCGAAAGCCACCTTTACATCATTGACCTCGCTTCCCGGGAGGTTGTCCAATCATATCCGCTCGACGTGCGTCCTCCCTTGCTCGGTTGCTGGGTGTATCACCCTCCTGTCCATCGGCTAACTGTCCGGTTTCCCTTCGCTATGCTCCGCTTCGCCCCCGTCTGCCTACCCCGCTCGCTTCTCTTTCCTACCGGGCGTTCAATCTCAGCGGCACCCCATCTCCATCGAGGTCGTATCCTTGGAGAGCTCCAACATGACGGTGGCCATCATTCAAACGATCTCCAAGGAATATTGGAAGGTACGTACAGCCGAGCCGCCGCCCGTGCACAAACACGGCCACACACACACACACA